ATAATATCAGGGTTAACGGAGCAACGAATAAGAATGAAAGTTTCGAGAGGAAGTAAAAATATTTAAAGGTGCATCGGAGACAGAGGCGTGGCGCACACCTGTCTATCGCATGCTTTCCCTCTCGAGTCGAACGCAGACGGTACACGCGAAAAATGTTAGATGATTCACCGTTGGACCTTCGTTTGCGTTGCAACGCTCGGCCTGCGCGTGTCTGTGCAAGCCTGCTCGAGAGGGAAAACAAGTTTTCACTCGCTCTTACTTAATGGCAACTTTAAACGCGTTTTATTTCTCTACAATCGTGCATTTCCTTCCTCGGAACTATTTCCGTATCATCAATGATGATAGAGACACTCGTCGGTCTTGCGGTACTCAAGCGTGACTCGTACTTTTTAGTGGGATTTTGCAGAGTGTTAGTTCTGGAGATGCGGAAGTTATTGATATATAGTTTTATGGCCAGACGATTAGTAGTTCAACAGTTATTTAACGTTAGTGTTTTAAGATGCTCGACGTCTTCGGTAATACGAGGACCCCAAGCATCTTGACATTAAAAATATCTTCTTAATATACCGAGGTATTTCGTTCCGACTGCAATCGACTCAATAAACTCAATGTTACTGATTCCACTTGCTGCCGTACAGTCTTATAACATCGCGTAATTGTCAGACGGTTATTACTCTTGTGAAATTCTTCCGCGCAGTCTTCGTACAACTCGCCTGCAATCTGAAAATATGACAATGGTTGGAAAATTTTGCGTCACGATTCCTTTACGACTTTGGCATTCGCGACCAACTGTACGTTATGCACGGATCGTCCTAACGAAACCTCGGAACGGCTGGCAGCGAAAAAAAGCATGTGGGCGAGGGCTGCCCGTTTCATCGTGGCCGTCGAACGTTGCTTAAATAATAAACGAAATCGTTATGAGGAGACGTATGTACATACTTCGATCGTAATTAAGCCGCGTTATCGCGATAGAACTGAAATTGTTAGCGCAATCGATATTTGGGTCACGGCCTCCTCTAAAAACGGACGCCCCTCCGATCATGGGCACGATTTTTTTTTTCGGTTACACGCGCGCGCGCGCGCGCTCTCGTGTATGCAACACGAAAACCTTATTCGAAACGAAACAGCCGGTGGCCTTGATTCGCCGTCGAATCGCGCTCAGAGGTCGCCAGCGCGATGCGAAATAATACAAGCGGACGATTTCGCGCGAGTTTTTCAAGGCATGCGGGTGTTTTAAGGATTCAACGATTCCAAGGATCGGGGCCCGTCTAGTCCGCGTAATCGGATAGATCCCCCGTGTAAGAATGTCGCGGTTAAAGATGAGCCTGGCGGAGATTCCTATTCGGTCCGATTCCGCCCTCAGGATTTACGCTACGGTTCCTCGTTCTGTCAGAATCCGCGGACGGGCGAACGGGGGAACGAGCGGACCGAGACACCGCTGCGAAACAGCCAAACACGAGGAAGCTGAAACGAAGGGAGATGAGTAAAGATGGAGGGAAGAAAGACGGTTAAAGAGAGAGAGAGAGAGGTAGTTATGGAGTCTGCGACGTCGTCTGGTAGTGGGGATAATGGTGGGACAGAGAGAGAGTGGACGAGAAACGGAGCGAGAGAGAAACAGCAGTCGGATGGAGGGATTCAAGGTCGCCGTGGTCGGCTGTTTCCGTCGGTGTTCGGCGACGGCTAAAATTGTGTTGGCGCGTTTTGCGGCCTTCGCGAACGCGGCCCCGTCTCTCTCGCTCTCTCTCTCTCTCCCACTCGCAGAAAAGTCAAGTTCAAGGCTAGCCAGATAGCAGCGCGCGATACGTTTCTCTTTCTTTTTCCATTCTTCGTCCGTTCCTTCCGTCTGGGTTTCGGTAACCGCTTAATCGAACGGCCTGTGCTCGGGGCAGGGAAGGCTGATGGCGGGAAAAACGATAGTCTGCGAATGCAACGCGGTCCGCTTGCGCAATCTTCTGTTCTACGGCGTTTCTAACTTTGCTTTTCTTTTTTTTTCGAAAGTTGCCCACTTTTTGTTAGTCCTATTCTCCGTTCGTAACGATCGAAACGAGAGAACTGGCTGCGATACGGGGGACTCTTCTCTGCTCGTCGTTACGTCGTCAGGACCGACTCCGCGCGCACGTTGGCCGGCGGTTTTTATTTCATTAATCCGAACGTGGGAGACGCACGCGCGAAGCAATTCGCACGGCTAGTCAAGTTCGAGGTTAACCAGATGCTTCGATACTTCGCTTTGTTTCTTTTCTATTCTTGGTCTCCTCGCGACGGTTCTTCCTTCTTTCCGTCTGACCATCGGTAGCTATTTATTAGGGGGTTGGTCCAATAATTCCACATAAAAAAGAACGATCTTTTTGGAACTTTTTTTATTCGAGAACAAAATTGATAATGTCCTAGAACTTTGAATCGAATTATTAATAATACAATTATCAAAGAAACAGGAATATTCTGTTAAAGTCGACCTTTTCTTTCCAATTCCTTGTACGCCAACTGCATCGTTCAGTGGGTCAAAAGAGTTTCCTGTCCGCTGACGTCAAAAATAATGCAACTAGGCAACCCGGATTACGCGGAACAGTCGCAGTCCCGATGCACACGAGTTTCATAAATCTGGCCACATTAGTCCATATAGCGACTCGATTCTGCGCAGTATAGGAGTAACGTCGATAAGGAGCCGAGCTTGCGTTGTTTATTAATTATTCGCGCACGGTAATTATTTATGCCATTACGTGCATTAATCTCGCTATTAGTTGCCCCAGTAAATTGAAGTCTAAGATTACGTTACGAAAACGAAGGTCAAACAAGTTTCCGTACGTTGTATGGATTACCAAGGCAATGCGCATAAACAGAGCCCGTAGACACTACGAATGGAATTTCCACGTCAGTTTGATAGTGGGAAGCTCAGGAAACGGATGAATTACAACCGTGGGACGAGATTTCTATTATGGGCGCCATTGGATCTCTTTACTATGATTCATTTTCAATAGGAATTTAAGGGGTCTCTGGATCTTTTAAAATCGTTTCGAACAACTCTGGTTGGATACGATTTAAGTCCCGTGGGTCACGAGACTGCGTTCCACACGGATATTAAATAATGGTGCGAGGAACTTTTTTTTTTTGCCCCGTGTTTCTACGAGAGGCGCGTTAACGCGACGAGACGAGACGCGACGCGAAGTTTAATAAAATCGATAACGCGCGAGGTTCGCCGCCTCGGTACAGCTTTCGCTATTATTCCCCCCTCGGTGAACGGCTGCGTCACGATTCACCGTGAATTAAAATTAAACGCTCGAACGATATCGTTTCGAAAATGGTCGCCAACCGTACGCGATAAGAGTTCGCCGCTGCTAGTAAAAGGTCGCCCGTCTCCGGTCGTCGCATAAATCTCCTCGAGACCGCGTTCCAGCGTCTCCCTTTCGTATTACTCGCGAACGATCGCAACTGCATCCCGCAGAAAAGTCAGGTTCAAGGCTAACCAGATACTCTGCGCTCCTTCCTCTTCCCCTCTTCCTCCTTTCTGTGTGCATTTAATATACGACACCGTCGTGGAAAGGAGTGGAGGAGGACGAGAGAGGAGAGCAGGCTTACGCAATCCTTTCACCGTTACTTTGTTCTCCGTCGCCCTACCTACCGTTCGCCCAAGGGATCCTCCCTACCAGACTCGGACGAATTTCATTTTCGATAAGGAATTAAGCGTCTCGAAATCAAATCACGACCAACGATTGTTCTTTCCCAGCCTACGTGTCCCGTAGCCTCGTTCCTTTGCTCGAAGACGAGCAGAAGAGGAAATGTCCTTTCGAGTCAATTAATTTAAACCGCCGCGATAGAATTACGGCGGCAACTTTTCGATCTTGCACCACGATGAGACGAGCACGGAGCCACGTTGTAAATCAGCATTTATGGCTTAACTAATCGCGAACGTTGTCTTAATCATTGTTTGATCGGTGCGCGCGAAATATTGTTCCTCCGATGTTTCAATCTTACAGTCAGATAAAAAGCGAAACGACGTTCCGCGCGTGGCTAATTTCGTACCGAGACGGATCAAGGGGTTACACCGTATTGGAACGTGGGTGAAATTTTTATTCAAAATGGCGGCCTTGGAACCTTCGCGAACTTCGTAATTGCAATTATTTTCTAAGACGATCTGGTTCGCTACAATACTCAACAGGCGTGCCATTTGCACCAACTTGACGCTCCTGGACGATCCTGCACCTTGACTTTTTATTGCTTGAATATTTACGTAGACACGTTATTCCTATTGTCTCTCAGTGTACAATTATTTTCTCTTTATTATCCTCTTTTTAATTGTCAAAGTAAGATGTCCAATCCTGACGAGTTTCGAGCTAGAATAAAGAAAGAATAGTCTCGAATTAAGGGGAATGTGGTGCTACGATCGAGTAGAATGTGGACAGCGTCGAGTAATTTTCCCTTACGTCTGATTAAAACGTCTGACCCAACACGACTCGCACGGAAGGTTTTTTTTTCTGCGAGGAATACTTATCGCGGGCGTGCTTAGGTTTAAAGAGGAGGAACCGGCAATCTCCGTCAGAGAGTTTTTGATCGGGCACGGTAACGCGAGGCTCGATCTCGAGCAATTACATATTTCAACGGGTACAAAGTGTATTTCAATCTTCTTTCGGAACGGCGAATCTCGTTTGTTTTTTAGCGCAAAAGGCATCTCCGGTTTTGCACGCCGTGCCGCAGTGTCCGTGCTTGAATTCCAAGAACATCGACGCTATGTACTGCGTATTTTCTGAAGTCAATTCTAAAAATGCTTGTGGCGTTGGTCGTGCTTAAAAATAGCGACGAAAAAAAAAAGTGCAGCCGACTGCAAGGCAGACTGTCTCTCCACGGTTTTCTGGATATGCCCCGTGCGGCTCGTTTAAAAGGAAATCATAAGCGTGGAACAATCGAGAACTTGCTTCTTGCTGAACGTGGTTTCAGAGATTGGTGGATAAATGTTGCCCGACGGTTTTGTTAAATAGACGCAAAGATCGAGTTTAATTGTTTTACAGGTTTGTATGATGTCCGGTGCCGGCACCGAAATCATGATCGGGAATAACAGAACCATGGCGAACATCAAGCAGGAAATCGAGAACCCTACGACACCCACGCAGAACTACCAAGTTTGTTCGCCGACTACCACCCTTCAACATCAAGAGGTATTTACGAGAGGTTTTTACAATTGAGAATATCAGTTGGAGACCTAAAACCAGTTTGAAGTAAGCCAGACTGTGTCTTCGTTGTGCGACATATTTGAAGCGATCGTTGTTTTGTTGCAGGTGATATGCGGCAAGGTGGAGATGCCGGCTGACTATGGCGGGGGCGAAGGTAGTCCTGACAGTCCAGAAATGCATCATCACTGTTCCTCCACAACGCAGCCTTTGGGTACACCTGAGGTAAAATCGATTACGATCAGTGTACGCAAAGAACAGCTGACCAAGCATAGTTTAAAGATTTGTAGTGACGATTATGACGTTACTTGTAGACGAGAACTAGCATAGTAATTACTCGCTAAACGATGGTAAAAGAATGGTGATCAATAGCGGTCGAAAATTACAAATGTCCTGGACACGATTAACACGTACAATAGACGCGTGATGTTGTTTGCGCCGCGTGTAGAGTGCATTGTTATGCATAAATAGGTGTGTCCAATCGCGATAACAACGAGGCTGAAAAACAGAGCTGGTCTAAACGTTTGAACGAAACTTTAAACTGTGCTTATTTTGGCCGTTATTTGTTGGACTTTATGCTTACGTAACGAGCAAACAGTCGCTAAATCGAACTGTCTCTGTTTATTTAGGGAGGCGTTAAAGAGGAGGACATGATACCTAGAAGGCTTTGTCTCGTGTGTGGGGACGTGGCGAGTGGATTTCATTATGGGGTCGCGTCTTGCGAAGCGTGCAAAGCGTTTTTCAAAAGAACGATACAAGGTAAGATGAGCTCCTTCGTGATTATAAATAATATTTTTTTTCGCAGCGTTTTCCAGGTAGCATCAACGGATTAATTATAATTGCTCGACGCCTTGACTCATCCATTAACATCTTTTGTATTCCCCTTTTACGATTAACGCTGTGTAGTAAATGTGTTTTCCACATTTGGATTTGCACGTCAGTTTACGAAGCATTCAATAATTGTTAAAGCTAATACAGGAAACATATTACTGTCGTTTGTGTGTATCGGCGAGTCTTTCGTTTTTCTTCTATTATTTAAACGGTAATACGTTCAAATACGGATACCTTTGGGCTAAATTTCGAACGATAATTAGAAAAATATTGAACCATAAGTGATTGTACTAACTTATGTACGTTTGTTGTTATTCGTGGAACCGACGTTGGTGCTACCTGGACGAGGACCGCGTATATTACGATAAAATAGCGAGTAATTTCACAGGTAATATCGAGTACACGTGTCCGGCGAATGGCGAGTGCGAAATAAACAAACGCAGGAGAAAAGCGTGCCAGGCGTGCAGGTTTCAGAAGTGCCTTCGACAGGGTATGCTGAAAGAGGGGGTCCGATTGGATCGTGTTCGAGGAGGCAGACAAAAGTACAGGAGATCCACGGATCCCTATACACCGATAAAGGCAGCCCCGTTGGAAGGTGACTTTTTAAAATCGTATTACAAGTATCAAGTTTATGATCACATCATTATATACAGGGTGATTGGCCACCCTTGGGGAAAATTTTAATGGGAGATTTTAGTGGTCAAATAAGACGAAAATCAAAAAAATTTCAAATTGTTTTGGAAAAATTATTTTCGGTTGCGGGGGTCAATTACAATCATTTTTGGTCAATAGACATATCATCGAAATCCTAACCATTTCCGAGAAAAAAATTCGAGTAGGTGGATAAATTTTTCGACCAAATTAAAAAATTTCAAATCGTTCTGGAAAAATTATTTTCTGTTGCGGGGGTCAATTACGATCATTTTTGGTAAATAGACATATCCTCGAAATCCTAACCACTTTCGAGAAAAAAATTCCTTACTGAAATGTCTGACCAGGCGTACATCTATTCCCCTTAAATTTTTCGGCGAAAAAAAAAGATGTCGAATCATTCTGAGAAAATTATTTTCGGGCGTGGGGGTCGATTAGAATCATTTTCGGTGGATAGACATACCCCCGAAATCCTGCGCATTTTCGAGAAAAAAATTCGAGAATGTGCCTAAATTTCTCGATAAAAAAAATCTTTCGAATCGTTCTGGAAAAATTATTCTCGATTGCAGGGGTCGATTACAATCATTTTTGGTGAATAGACCTACCCCTGAAATCCTGCGCATTTTCGAGAAAAAAATTCAATACTGGTGGAAGTGTAGACGTTAATAACTTTTTAACGAAGCCTCCATCAACAAATTGGTATTCTTGATTTTCGTCTTATTTTGGCCTCTAGAATGTCCCATTAAAATTTTTTCCAAGGTTGGCCGAACACCCTGTATGTAGAAGCTGCGCGATGCACATCATGATAGATACGATTAAATTTTAATCTTTTATATGTTTCTAGCAAACGTAGGAACAGGAGGTTCTAACGAAATAATAAGTAAGCTATCGGCTTCTTTCAATTCACTTAAACCTTTCGCTACGAAAGGCTATTATAGTGATCGTCCGCGAACTTGTCCCCGCGTACGAACGGCCATTGTAGTGGACGAATAATTACAATAGTAGTGCACGAACAGTCCAGCTCACCGTTAAAATATTTCATTGTTGCGACACGAAGTTCATCGACAGTATTACATTTATAATCAGTTAATTACATTTTTAATGCCGTGAATGTTTTCTTCATCCATTTAACCCTTACAAGGGGTTTGTATGATATATTACACACTGATTTTAATGAGGTTTCATAGGTAGCCATTTGCTTAGTTATTCCATAATTTACAAGATATCAAAATAAAAATTAAGAACAAACTGACAAGAAATGTTATTCGTTACATACTCAAACTACATTAATAACTTGTATCAGAAATCTCTGTTAATTAATTCACGAAGCCTCATTGAAACGTATGTAACGTACCACGTGGTCCTCTTGTTAGCTATTCTCGTAACTTTGAGATTAGAATGTATTAGATACATCGATAAAATGTATGATTACTTACATTAGTACGAAAGCTAAGTAATTTTGTTTGCCAGGATGTAGTATTTGTTTTCACAACTCCGTACTCGTGACCCGGCCTCAAACGTAGCGGTAACTCTTTTTCGGTTAGCTCCATCGTAGCGAAAGTGTTACACGATCCTCGAAGCTCGATTCTGTTAGTAGCTTTACGTCGTGGCACGAAAACGTTCGGTTTAACACGTTTCGTGACGTTGCATCGAAATACAATGAAAATACATTCGGTAAACGGTTTTATCTATCGGTAGATAATAAAATGCTGGAAGCTTTGGCCGCCTGCGAGCCCGACATGTTGCAAGTGTCTAATCTGTTCCACACTCTCGACACGGATCAAAGAATACTTGGTCAGTTGTCGGACCTGTACGATCGAGAATTGGTCGGGATAATCGGTAATTGATATAGTTGCTCTACCTAGGATATAGCCATTCTTATTTAGACGTTGCACAATTAAGATCTCTGGGATCGTTGGTTCGAAGGTTGGGCGAAGCAGATCCCTGGATTCAGCACTCTAGCTCTGAACGACCAGATGCGACTTCTGCAGAGCACGTGGGCCGAGATATTAACGTTTAGCCTCGCATGGAGGAGTATGCCAAACAACGGTAGATTAAGGTTTGCCCAAGATTTTACCCTCGACGAGCGACTCGCACGCGAATGTCACTGTACAGAGCTGTACACGCATGTGAGTACATGTCTGAACGCATATACGATTATTATATCATTATATCGAAACGCGTCGGTGTTTTAATGATGTTAATCAACTTAAAGGTGACGTTTGTGTGTTGAACAGTGTATTCAGATCGTTGAGAGGCTTCAACGGTTGGGCTTAACCAGGGAGGAATATTACATGTTAAAAGCATTAATATTGGCAAACAGCGATGCGAGGTGGGACGAACCACAGGCGCTCTATCGTTTTCGAGATACTATTCTGTACGCCCTATCAGATTGCGTGGCGGCGGTAAGACCAGGACAAGCACTTCGCGCCACACAAAACATGTTCCTAGTGTTGCCTGGTCTCAGGCAGGTCGACGGAATTGTTAGAAGATTTTGGTCTAGTGTCTATCGAACGGGAAAAGTACCTATGAACAAGCTGTTCGTAGAAATGTTAGAAGCTGCTCATTATCGATGAAGCGCCGACTTGGACTCGATTTAAAGAAAAATGTGTATTAAAGGACTCTATAGAAGCGCTCGAACCATTCGCCGACGAATGATCAGCGTTTACACTTACAACACTCTGGCAGTGAGTATATAGGGTACGTTTCGTCGCGTCCTTGGGAGTGTGAGCGAACACACAGTGAGTGATAGTGAGACGTAAGAGAGAAAAAATGGGAAAAAAAAAAAGAATAAGAGGAGGGACACTGTGCAGTTTTATTATTTTTCGTTAAGAGAAAGACTCATGAACAAAAAAAAAAAAGGCTTTTTTTTGACAAGCGAAAGTGTTGAAGCGTGGAGCTTTGGCCAGTGATTCCAGCAGTCGTTGAAACACGCGAAATAATTTTAGGATAGCAGGCACACACTTTTGTCGAAGTAACCAAACTTTCCTTTTCGAGTACCCCATTTACAGGTACAGAGAAAAACAAAACGATGTTATTTCAGGATAGGGTACCTAGTACAAGATGCGAGACGCTTTTTTCCGGAGCTCTCACTTTAGGATAGTATATGAGAATCTGTCGACAATGATAGACGAACCTACCAAATAAACAAAATAAATAAAAACGTTTTCATTTAACGTGTACTGATCGGTACGATCGCGTGGAACACCGATACCAATACCGGTGATCGTAGAAATCAAATGGAAAATGTAACTAACTGTGGGTGTTTGACATTATATAGTTAGCATCGTGTTACCAAATGACCACACCAAGTTTAATCAAAATTACATACGTAGCTGCAGATATTTTAGTTACGTCTTTTCTCTAAAGCAAAAAGTATAAAAAAAAAAAAATAAAGAAGGAAGATTCAGTCAATAACGAGGTTAGAAAAAGACGCGAACTCTCTATTTTTAATAGTGTCGATGAAAAAGGGTACGTCGTTTTATATGTAGAGGTAACTGCACGTTTTAATACTATCGAACAGTCGTAACGACCGCTATAAATGTAAATCGATGTGTGTACTGCATTGAACATCCATAGTTCTAGTTCAGCGAAATGAATTTAGTATGCGCCGTTGTACAAATCGAACCAATCACGTGAACCAAGAGCTAGCTGGCCAGTGAACAGGGAAAAAAAAAAAGAGCAAAAGAATGGCTGGATCGTTCTCCATTTAGGGCCATGCTGCTTTCGTGTTAATTTTGTGTTTTTGTACAAGATATCGCGGAAAAAGAAAGAATAGTTTCGGGAACGAACCTTTGGCCAGGTTGCCAGGTTCTTAGGAGAGAGAGAGCTGAAGAAAAAATTTAATCGATTGTTGAAATGATCGCGAAAAAAAAGAATGTTATTCGCGCGTGCCACACAAGAGAGCATAGGAGAATATATAACTGTTAACTGGAGAATATAATTTATGAAGTACAACTCCAACTTCAAACGGAGGTAGGGCTTTTCTTCGCTTGTTCCGTTCTCTTACGTTCATCGCGTTTCGCTTTCCATTTTAGAAGTTTTATCAGACGATTTTCCATCGTTGTGGGTAGCTCTGCTTCTACGATACACAGTGTAGAGACAGAGATACCTAATACACTTCTATTCTCGGTAACCATATCATCTCTAAAACTTTTACGCAACCTCTTTTGTTTCTCTGCCGCGAATAATTCGACCGTCGTTTACGTTTCCAAAAACCAAATGGTTTTTCTTTGTAATTTTGACGAAGAAATGACATTTTTATTTCATATTTGTAATCGACTCTTTGTGCTTCCAAACTGGAATATTTCTGGCAATTCTGTCTGCGATATCCTGGCCTGGGATCGCAAAGGGTTGAACTTCAGATCCAACGTACAGCACTAACCTCTAACTAACCACTCAACGATAATCTGCAACGGAAAACCGTTTTCTTATATTATATTACTATATTATATGTATTCAGGGATCTTTATTATCTAGTTATTATTGTTAACGAGATCTGTGCAGGGACTCTCGGAGATCAAAAGAAGCTCGGGTCAGTTACCTTTCAGAGGTTCCCAGTATATTAAAAAGAAAATTCTTTTTTATTTTTTTTTTGCAATAGGTATTCTGTCTTGGATGTGGCTCTATTAATCGTTTAAACAACCAGATAAACAAGCGAAATCATGCATATGTAACAATAAAGAGTAGAACAATTGGTCTTATTAAATTATTGATCGATCGTGGGAACACACAAAATTCCTCGAATATCATTTTTGCGTAGATTTTGTGGTACCCGAAAATGCTCCTGTGATAGGGCTTGGGATCTGTGCACGGATCTTCCGCATAATATCGCTTTCTCCAAGCGTACAAAATCGATAAATATCGCGTAGAAGCCACTGATCACGTGCAAAGCGAAATTTTATTTTTCAAAAATAAAAGACGCGCGTTTGTAACCGATCCGGTGAAATTTTTATTTGCCGTGTTACGCGCGGCTGGGTCTTGTGACAAGGTTCTCGCCGATTCTTTGGATCCGCCGTTTGTTGTTTCGCGCGAAAAAAAAAGAAGAGAAACTAGTCGATATTAAAAGATGGAAAGAGAAAATTATTTAATGGAATCGTTGTGAATGAATATTTTATCGTAAGGACGTTATGATTCGGCCGATGTTCAAATGTTTTGGCCCGCGATCGATAGGATCGGTCAGGACCTTGGCGATCCCGCGACGCGGGATAAATCATGTAACGTTTCGTAGTGCAATAATATCAGGATTACATGTGGATCGCATTGTTTCTCTCGGCGGCATGATCGCGACACGTCCCCCCTTCGAGTTCCCTTTTGATTTCTGTATTACATCTTCGTTCTCCTACCCGTTCGAAACTTTGTTTAATCCTACTGCATTTAAATATACGATGCAAAACAGTCCACAGTGTGACGCTTTACGCATTGCGTGTCCTTCCTCCAATCAGTTTCTTTCACGATTACCTGCGGCACGGACGTTCGTCCTTCATTTGCGAATCAGACGACGCGACGAATACGAGCGGGATCATGCGAACAGCAGTCTCGTGCTTTTCATATCGCTTGCAACCGGTTCTCGTCGTTTGTTCCGTTCTACGAAACGGTGTTGTTCGTTGCGTTGATCCTCGACGTGTAAGTTCCGAGAAAATTGTTGCGTGAAATATTTGGTGGCGACTTGTCATCCGGTTCGCTAAATTTGTGTGTTAACGTTTGTCGTAGTTTATCAGGTTTGATGTTTTGAGAATGTTTTAGTACGCTTGTTTCGTTCGTGAGATCGTCGATTGTACAACTCTTTTCTTTCTTTTTTTTTTTTTTTTTCGTTTGCCCAGCCGAGTGAATAAGGCTTCTCTATACAGCTGTGATATACGCGTTGTTCGACGCACCGAGTTTTGCGTCTTTTAAACATTTATACGCGTATTCCATCCGCACGTGTCGTCGATTCGTGAACCATTCTGTGTTTCTTTCTTTCAGAGGCCTAAGAACTAATCGTTGCCAGGCGCGCGTGTCGTTGTCGCGTCGAGGGCTCCCGCTCGTCGATCGATCTTTGATTTCGAATTAGTTTCGACCGATGTTCGATGTCAAAACCGCTGACATTTCGGCGCGGTTGTTGTTCCCGTGTTTCAAGGAAAAGAGGAGCCGGAAAGAAATATTTTTACGAGTCTGACACGAAAACGCGTCGGTTCCGGGGGTCGTGCGTTTACCGCGACTTTAACGACCATATTCTTCGTGTACGTTCATCGATTCGCCGTGGCGGTAGAATCGTAGTCTCAGGGTTTCGAACAAACAAACAAAACAACCAACAAATAAACAAAGGATACAAATTTAGACACATATTAATAGATAAGGCGCGCGATTATATTTGTGGAGCAAAATATTATAATAGTAATAATAGTAATAACGACGATAATGATAATGATGATGCTGGTTATGATTATGATGATGATGTCGACGATGATGATGCTGATAATGATAACAATAATGATAAAGAATATTAATATTAATATTAATGATGATCATGATGATGATAATAAATATAAAAATAATAAGGAATATTACTCGGTCACTTATTACATCGCAAATTGAAACGGGCCTGGATGCGTAGGAACCTTTTTTATTCATAATTGTTACAATATTGTTTCGATCCTTAAAAAGATTTCAGTCAGAACTTTTATAGAACGGATATTTTCAGAGCCCTTTCGTCCCAGAAGTCTCAAAATACATCAATTTTGCGAACAACCTGTACCGGCTATGATATTTCGTTTCCACTCCTATAAAGTAACGATACAATTTCTTTCTGCAAACTTATTTCCGTTTTGCGGTCGAGGAACATTGTAAATACGGTTGAAAGTATGAAAATAGTTTGTATCAACGATTTAACAACATCCTGTATTTTTCTTCCATTTCGTGGCCGCGCAGCGTGAGAACGTTTCCCACACGGACGACAAACATCGAAACGTTTCGTATATTATAATAGACACTGTTTACTAGAGCCGAGCTCAATCGGTGACAGAATTTTTTAGTAATCTTTAGTGTAAAAATAAAGAAGACGTTTAAAGAAGACCTTTGCTTATATTTGCAGCTTTTCTCTGACAAAAATAAGACCAGTCACTATTCAGTGTGAACTATATTTATACCTTAAACGAGTAAAAACATTTATCGAATATAATCTCGATCGTTCAGTTTTATTTTGATCAGAAAAATGTTACGGTGTAACTTTCGGTCAGAACTCGTCGACCGTGGCAAAAATTCGCGAACATTCGCGCTTAGAAATGTGCCGATTCCGACGAAATAGAATCTAACGCTTCAGTCGGCGCAGCGATCATGTCGCGAGAGGTGCCTCGACGCGTGCTACTCTTTTCCTTAGCCTTGCTACTTTCAGCCTTTTGCAGTAAGTGCTACAGTTATCTCGTACAAGCTGTACCGTCGGCTTACTAACGTGAAAATTGAAAATTGTGCACAGAGTATCAGGATCTCCTCGCGGAAGCAACCTCCACGCCTGACGATTGTTCCAAGCTCGATATCGCCGGGCTCGAGGACTATTTGTCGAATCTCGAGAACGCGACGATCGATACGACGATCCCGGAGTCCGAATGCCCGGCCACGGCGTTGCCCTTCGGCGCTCTGAAGTCAGATTGGACGAGACTGCTTCTCTTGAAAGGGGCACAACCCCAGGATTCGATCCTACAGGAGAAACTCGATCGTATTTTTGGAATCTTGGCGATCGCTTACTCCCAAACCGACGGCCATTTCGATATCGCGAAATCCGTCTGTCGAGCTGCGAGCAGGTTTGTGCGAGTAAATCGCAATCAGTTTCTGCTGTGTCGTTGAAGGGTCGTGCAATTTTTCTTTGTAATAAGCGCGATGTTTGCTTCGTTGAAAATCGAGTTTATCCTCGAAATGTTACACCTTTGTAAGAGTAAGCGTATTAGGGACCAAAATGCAATGTTTAAATTTATGTGTGCAATTATTAGAATCGTTTAAACAGAAAGTCAGGTACGTGTATTCTCGCAAACATATTTATCTTCGTACCGTCTGTATTTTAAGCTGCAGCGTTTCTCTTGCACGATGTGGAGCAACGCAAAACCTAGTTTTATCTCTTTAACGACACAGTCGGAGCCAGTCGCGTGACACATCTTGTATCTTGAGACAAGTAGGTTTCTTCTTCTTCGCGAGGGTGTTCTTTACACGTCGTGACTTACTTGAATTATGCCGGTAGCACCGCTGCCCCGTCTGCGTACGAGAGCGATAACTCGGAGGAGAAATCGGAGGAACTCGGCGAAACGACGACGGATTCGAGGAAAATGCATGAAATTCCGGAAAGTTCTGTTTCAACCATCGCGACCGAAATCGAACGGGCCGCGTTCACGAGTCCCTATGTAACGGGAGAAGAAAGTAAACGCGAGAAGTCTGTTGGAATGCATAACGACGGTTCTTCAACAGTCCCATCTTCACCTGTTGGCAACTCGACTAGCGAACGAATCGACGCGGAAGAGAAGAGAATCGTCGAGACGTTCGTAACTGGTGAAACGTTGGATAATAATTTGGACAATAACAAGAACAATGGAGGGCCTTTGTCAGTGAACTTTGTTACAAATGATTTTATACAAGATGAGAATATTTATAACAATACCGAACATTTTACTTCCGATATTTCTGGAACGACGACGGCCATGTTGGAAAACGATTCACAGGAAACTCAAGGTACACGCGACTCTTTCGAAAACACTGTCGATTCGTTTGGAAGAGACAAAGCTACCACGAGTAATCTTCTGGAAAAGAAGTCGAGCACAAAAGAAATTACAGAAGGCTTTGTGAAGCACATTTACAGTACCGAATACGACATTTCTGACACGACCTCCGTCGATCGTCAGGTATCGACGAAGAAAGACACGGTTAACAGCGACGATACCGATCCTGGCTTCTCCGAATTTGCAAAACTGAGCAGCCCGGAGATGTCCAATGATAAAGGTACGACCGAACGGAGTCGCGTTTATACGGACGGAATTTCCGGGAACGATGTCGTTGGCTCGACCAAAAGTTTTTCTCGCGAGCCCTCGAATCGTCGGGAGCACGGTATTTTCAAAGTTTTCCAAAAGACCCGGAACTCCACGGATCATCGTATTAAGATAAGGAAGCCTTCGATTTCGAAGAAACCGCCGGCGGACAACGGATTTTGGAAATACATTGTAATCCCGCGCAACGTTGCCTCCCCGGCTCCCCGGAAGCCGTCCGATCGAACGGAAGAGACGAATGGGTCCGGGGGAGACTCGGAGAAGTCGAAGAAACGCGGAAGAACGAACGCGAACGCTCAGAAAATTTTTAGGTGGTTTTACAACGTCGGCCAGGAAGACGAAAACAAACGCAGCAGGTAAAAGCACACGATAACGTACTTTTAAAAGATGGAACGATAGATAGAAAAATACGAGAACAGATACTAAACCAATAGTAAGTTTGAAAACATTTTTAGAACCCGTACGTGGACAGCCCTCAAGAACAATTAATTAATTTATATTACTTGAATGAAACTACAAGTTTAATTATTACAGCGAAAGGCACGGAATTCGCATCGAATGCAGCGCAGACAGACTCGAGGATGCAACGTGGTTGCACTAAGGCTTTGAGAAGGCTGTCAAGAAAATTAGGGGAACGTTGTCGAGGTGTTCCTTGGTCAGCGATAAGAAAACAATATGTTCTGCACGCTTTGGACGCCAACAGCCGATCCGATCGGTCGCAATAAAGTTCTTTGAGTTTCATTTCCACCGAGTCCTTTCCGGTCTTGTTACTCGTTCCTCGCGTGGGAGGACTACAACGCTACCGATGGTCATTCGTCCATTCTTACCAGCGATATCGCGGATCAGTCCATAAATTCATGAGCCCCGGGACATCCCTGACTGATATTTACGACGTCTGCACCTGGGGTAACGTTCGTCATGCTTTACGAGCCGTCGTAAACGAATCCTTATTATCAGTCCTCATGACGTTTCTTTTTTTTTTCCACCCCCTGGAATCGTACAGGAGCGCGATTACAATCGAGAATCGTTTAAAATTATATCCGGATCGGGATAAAAGGTGGAAAGGGAATGAAATTGGCCGTGGCGAGTTCATAATTGGGTGTACGCGAACTATCGCGATAACGATTCGCCACAGATAGCCCCGGACCGATCGGTTTCATTTGCAACGATAGCACATCGCCGCTGCGGTTAATAACGAATCGGGGCGGTGCAAATAAACACGAGCGTTCAATCAGCGGGAAACGCGTTTTAATAATTACGGTGCGTTATTTTGAAGCGTTGGTAAAACGTCGATCCGATCCATTCGTCGGTACGAACTGTCGTGGAAAAGGACTTCGATTCTAGAATTATTATGTAACGAATTTATGTATTCTCGTCTTTATCGTAATAAAGAAAAGGTTACACAGAATCTTCGATTTCCCGATATACGCGTAACTTTAATGGAGTCTGTAAAATTATCGATTACAGGTAATATTTGACACGTAGTCACGGTGACCTGTGACCTATCATTCGACGGAAGTAGGTTAACATTGAAGGCGGATGGGTCGAGTGCTTCTCTTGTTTGATATTTGCCCCCGTACTTTCTCAATTAGAGAACTGTGATTACTGAAATAAAGAAACCAGATTAAAGAACAATACTTTAATTAAGAAGAACGGAGAAGAATAAATGCATAACAATAAATCCACCGTCGGTTATACGAATTCTTCCGAACGTTATCGAGTCTGTTCGTCGTTCGCGATTTCTTCCAAAGTTCGATTCTGGTTTCTTTCAGGGTAAGGGTTCCCTCTCGTTTTTTTCCAACGTTCGAGGCTAATAACAGAAATTAATCAAAGGGCTCTTCGTAACTGAAATCCTCGCCAGGTTGCATAAACAAATAATAGAAATTGTCAAAATTATTAAAAAAAAAAATTCTAAAATATTATTTATCTTCTACTCTTACCAATACACCATGGTTATTTTTGCCTAGAGCGATCTAGTAATTTTATCAAACTTTACAGTTATCTTATCCATAACGTTGCGAGCCTGCAAAATATTAAAATCGTGAGACTCGGAATTTACCATCTTGAGATCATTTTTGCCGGGTAAATCGTCGGTGAAAGTTTTTTTTTAATTATGTTTTAGCTGGTGTCCGCGTGGGTGAGGTGCTAGTTTTCTATTTTCCATCGCAGTACAACTTAAGCCGCGTCAACGGCTGGTATATGAGCCCTCGTTTGTTTGCCGAGAACGGGTTCAAGACGAACGATTATTCGTCGCTACGTGCCCCGGGGCGTTATCGTGCCATGTTCGCGGTGAAGCGCGTCTTCTTCGCGAAGCCGGCAACAAAGCGAGCCACATTTATTAGAGTCAACAATTTCGCCGGCTGTGGCACGGATTAGCGGTGCATCGCTCCTCGTAAGGAAACAAATTGCCCGCTTCACCGAAACGCGAGTGCAACAGCTTCCCCCTTCCCGCCCGTGTTCCCTCATTCCCTCGGGTACGTTTCAAAAAACGAGTTGCATTTTGACGCGACGTCTCGTCTTTACCGCCCGCGGTATTGCGTAATTTTTTCCCCACCACCGTTATCAGCACGAAACACGAAAAGAAGACGGACGAGAGATTCCACTTTCAGGGTTTCTTATTATCAGCGCACGTTTGCGTCAGTATTTTGGAAACTCCGCAGTATTATCAGCCAGAATAAGGTTAAAGAAGGTTAAATTTAAATTTCAAAGACATGCAAGATGTAGAAGCACAATCTGCCAATAAAAGTGAAACAAAGAAATGATAAATAGCTAAAATTTGCGTGGACGTCCTCTTCCAGAACGTTAGAAGAGATTACTCAAAATGGCGGGCATCAATTCTATTAAGTCCATGAGTTATTAACGAGATAACGAGGCTGGGGACCTTGATGGACCCCGGGCGCGCGGTCGTCGAGGGTTTAAGCGAGAGAGATTCGTTCGGGGAGGAGACCCCCGAAGGGCTGGATCGACAAATAAGGGCTATCAATCGCCCAGCAAACGTTAAACTCTCGCGAAACAAATTCGACCTCGTTACTTATCATTTCTTCGCGATTACCCGGCACTCGGATTAGCCGTACATTGTTTCGCGCGAGGAAACAAATTAGCCGTTTCGCCCTGGAACGCGAGTTCCTCGAGACGGTGGGAACGCTCGTTCTCCACGGCGTTCGTGCCGAGGGCGCGGGAAGAACGTTTCCTCCGGGCTCTGACCGTTCGTCAGGATTACTGTAGCATCTCGAGCAGCTTCAGAAGTGGAGGCGGCGGAGTAGCACCCGGTAGAAAGCTCACGGAAATCATTTAACTGGGGAAAGAGTGGCGGGGGAAAGGCCAGGGGAGAAGAGTGGGCGAAGGAAGTGGGCGAAGAGACGCGCCGGTAATTATTTTACCGGCGAGAAACGAAGGAACGAGGGAATGCAACTCCCCCACCTAGGTTTCTCGATGCTAATTTTTACTAATTGGTCGCATTACTCTCGTTACATTCACCTGTGCCGTGGTTGCTCCCTTTCTTTCGAATCCTCCGGCGTCTCTTCCTCTTATTCTTCGCGATTCAACATCGATCCTTACACGATGCATGGGAAGCAATAGCACGAGCTTCAAAGTGGTTTCTTTATTTCCCAACCTCCGTTTAAGATCGTAAGGATTTAGTCGAGCGCTTGCGAGAGAGACAAGAGCGTGGCCCTCTGGTGGCGGACGTTTGAGTATAAATCGTCAGACAAGGGATCAGGTCTCGAACGATTCTTTCGGTAGATGATAGACGTGGGAAGAGTACGGCCCGCAGGGATTTATTTCTCGGTTTGTAGAAGCGAACTATTCGCGGTCCATTACGTCGCGCGGCAACCCTAATCCTTCGTCCTCTTCGCGACGAACGGAACGATGGAAATCGGCAACGAGGATTTTCTTTCCGTCGAGGCGAAGAACGAATATAAAATCTGCATTAATTCGATCCTCCAAACTAAAGAAAGTCGTCGAGGACGACGGTGAAATTGTGCAAAGTGAAATACCACTTCGCCAAACAATTTCAAATCGTAGAAAAATGAACGTTCGAACATATTTACAGGGTCTGATTTACTCGAAACATTCTAGTGCATTTTCTATTTAGGAAAGAGTCTACAGTTCCTGGAAAGTGCGTGAGGATGGTTTATCGGACACCTTTCGCGTGTAATCACCTTTGCCCCGGTGTCTTCGGTGAAGATCCATTCTCGTCACGTCGAGACAAACGGGCACAGTTGACTCTCCATCTAAATCTTCCGCCTTCGTTCTCTGCAGCCCCGTCTCTCTCCCATCGGTCGGATAAGAGATGAAATTAAAATTCTCGAGGAGACTGAAACGTCACGTTCCGCGTCGACCGTGTCTCGTCTCGTTCCACGACCCGTGGAAGCCAGCGCCGCGTCCGATCGTCCCGAAAGTATACCGGAAGATAAAGGGAAAAGGAGATCGAAGGCCGGTCCGCCTCGCATGATCCCCGTAGATCGGTCGAACGCTCCGAACGTTCGATGGAACTTCGTAAGGAAAGATATCTCCCGGGAACATCGAAGTATTTTAAAATCGAGGAAAGGATAACACTCTAATATTTTTCTCCGAGTACATAAAATTCTCGTAAAACCGGACGCGAAGCATTTACATTGTTTTATCTTGCCCGCGCAGCTGGAAGGGAATTCGGTGCAATATTGATGCAGCTAACTTTGTTCTTCGAAATAAAAAGAATTTGGACGATGCTTCCCCAAATATTTCTGTATCTCAGAACTATATTATTCTGATCGATGCAATTTTCTGTTTAGGTGAATCAACAAATGGCGATCAACAAATTAGATACAAAGATAAGTAGTCGAAACAAAAGACTATTATTTGTGTATTTCTAAAGTATGTATATTTAGATTCTGATTACTAATAC